GGTAGAAAACTTGTGAGACCTGGAGAAATAAGGTAGTCCTGGTACGTGCTGGTGCTTGTGGTTCTAGTCAGGAGCTCTGGTGGCTTCTTATTTTTATATGCCAATGAGTTAGGTGCCTGCAACTCTATGAGCAATAGCTCTGAATCATGCCCTATCCTGAGCAAGTCTCACTGTCTCCCATACACCTATCACCAGTTACTATTACACCTCAGTTACTTTGTCAATACATCTCATTTGCGGTCTTTCTCTCCTGTGCTGAATTACACCGTCAGTGCAAAGATAATGTGGTTTGAATCCTTCAGCTGCTCCACGGGGGGGGGGGGGGGGGGGGGGGGGGGGGTGTGTGTGAAGACAGACATTCTTCTCCTGTGGAAATTTACTGCCTCTGAAAACTCAATGGACGGTCAGCTATGGGTTGGTTCCTAATTGATAGTATACAGTAACAGTATGCTCTGGCACTCACAGGTTTCTTTGTGTAGACAGACCAGTTAAAGGCTGTACAGCAAAAACTGTGAGGGCCAGAATGTTCCAGCAATGCCTCTAAAATTTTCTGGGATAGAAAAGCACAGGCTGAATAAGTTTTCTATCATTCTTTACTGAGAATATTACCTAATAAACACCCAGAAAGTAATTTTCAATTTTATAAGAGTGTAAGAGAAATTTAAACACTTATGACTTACATATTTATTAAAATTCATGTACAAGTATGCGCATATACTATTCAAAGAAAGACATGAGTAAAATCAACTTTGTAATACATCTACAGTGTTTAAGATTGCCGTTTGATTAAGTTACTGAAACAAATTCTAATTCTGTAGCCTTATAAAAAAATTCTTGATCTCCTTTACCTTTTCCAAATTCCTTCAAAGCCTTTATGTAGCTGAAAACTAGTACTTGACTTAAGAGGTTCAGACTCTTCTAATGGTAAGTCTTCTTCATCATTGTTATCTTTAGATTGTGATGCCACAATTCCTTGCAGATTTATATCATCCATTTCTGTGGCAATTTCTTTGTCACTAACAATGTAAGATGCAGCACTGATTCTATTTTCTGAAACATCACTATAAATATCATTTATTGCATCCTGAATCTGCATGATATTATCAGGTTCGATAACAGTTTCAATTTGTATACCGTAATTACTGCCAAATAAGAAACCACAGTTCTTAAAACAACATCTTACAGTGTCTTCCTTAATCATTTTGACTGATCGTTTAAGAAATGAAAGTGCATCAAGGACATCAATTTTCCCTGAATCACTGGATGCCATCTTGCTCATCTCAATGCTGGCAATCACTTTCTGAAGTAATAGCTTCCTGTAGTTTAGTTTAATATTTTGGATAATGCTATTATCCAGAGGCTGTAGGGCTGTTGCCATGGATGGTGGGGGGAAAAAAATAATTTAATATTAGACAGAGGAAGTGATCGATGACAAATAGCATTGTCAATGAACAAAAGAATACTTCAATTTTGTTTTTTCATGCTATTGTTGAACTTATTCAAAAACTCTTCGTAAATCCCTCCTGTCATCCAAGTATTTTTATTCCATTTCCATTCTACTGTAAGTCGATTCATTTCAATATTCCTGAAGCAGCGTGGTCTCTTGCTTTTTCTAATTACCCATAGTTTTGCAAATGTTCCATCTGCAAATGTAGTTAAAAGGACAGACAGTAAGCCGCTCTTCAGAAAATAGACCCTGCAAGCACCTTTCCCCCTTCATTTTCAGGGTTCTATAAAATTTTCAGGGTTCAATGCCTTATAAAAGAGAGCAGTTTCATCAGCATTTGCAGTATCTTTAGGATCATATCCCTTATAATCTCTTTTAATTTTCTGAACCAGTTTTGAATGTCTTTGTCAGCCTCATAGGACTCCCCGCTAGCTACACTGCAAGTTATTCTATGGTTGTTTGTTTTTTTTTAAACTCTGAAGCCAACCATTAGATGCAGACAATCTATCCACTTTTAAAAGTTCACTATTTCTTTCATCTTTCCTTGAAGAATAGGTCCAGAAATGGGAACATTCTTGGCAGAGGCTTGAAGAAACCATTCAAAAACAGACTTGTTGATTTCTGGGTAACTTCCATTCATTCCTTTCTTGACATTTATATTGGTGCTGCTCATGTATTTTTCAATTATTTTGTTTTTTTCTTTCATAATCGAGTAAATCTGTTTTGCCACACTTGAACCTAATTACAGCTTCCTTGACAGTTTTTTTTTCTTCGCTTATCATTTTGACAACATCAAACTTTTCTTTCAGAGATAATTTCTCACTCTCTTGTCCGTTGCTGTGAAGGAATAAGCTTTTTTAAAACGAAACAAAAAAGGAAGTAAGTTCTTACAAAAACTAAAGAATTTATGATCTCAAAAACATGAGTATTTCACAAAAATAAAAAAAGAAAAACTATCAACATCATTACATGGTAAGATCAGCACACATCAGCAAAATATTTAAGGTAAAGAAATACATGAGAAAAGGTTTTTGCTTTTGTTACACACACTCAACGTGTTAAGTGAAGTAGTTATTTTTGGACAAAACAAGATATTTAAAAAGAAAGAAGTCAAAGGAAATTAAAAGAGTGGATTTTGAAAACTGTTACTGAAATAAAGGTATATATTCATTTAATTTACATTTTCCAAACTTCTGTTGTTCTTTGCCAGAAAAAATTTAGAGGCAAAAAGAAAACAATAATGACGACAACAACAACAACAAATTAGTGAAAATGTAAATAAAAAATGTATTCAGAGAATAGGAGACGGTATAGTATGCACTCAGACATAATAACACGAAACTCAGTGGACGATTTTCATCTCTGACTCTTGTACTTCTTGAAGCTATTGGTGGCTTGCACATCTGTACTTTCTTGTATTCCGAGTTCCAATACCAACTACTAATTTTCTGATTCCATCCAAACTGTGCAGATCACAGCTTTCAGAAAATATTTACTAGGCTAAAGCAACTGTTCTGTGGAAAATGAGTTTGCCTTCTCTGTTTTCTACCGTACAGAGTTTTTTAGATTCTGCAGGCTATATGGTTGTTCTCTCCTGATGGTTGGATTACAGTTTGATTACTTTTCCTTCCTTTGGATTTTTTCCTAGTTGTTGGTATTTTATCTTCAAGGTATGTATTATTCTTTTATTAAGAAAGGTATTATATATATTTATTATATATTTTTATTTATATACTATTTATATATTATATTTTAAAGAAAAGAAAAATAAAGACCCTTCCAGGAACACAATGATTCTATAAAGATGCCTATTCTGCATCTTAAGAGAACTTGCCAATGATGTATCTTCAGAATGTAGACAAAGTCACCAGCAATAAAATAAAAACCAGTAAGATTTACCCTCTCTAGTCAATGAATATACTACAGACAGGAGGACGACCAGCTCCTTCAGGGGGACAACAACCCTTTTTTAATCCTGTCTTCAATACCTAGGAATGAATAACAAATGAATCTGCCACAGAAAATAAAGAACACAGCTACCCTAGGAAAATTCAGGTCAAACTGCTACAGCTTTTAATGAAAACAAGGAGAAAACCAGATGTTTTTAACAGTTAGGATTTTAAATGTCCATTTTTTTCTCCTAGAAATAACCAGAGGTAACCTAACTTAAACCACCAGCATCAATTCAGCACTAACTCAGAGAAACTCCACCACCTACTGAATCACTACCATCCATCAGAGAATCAATACTAAAGTCACTCTCAAACTAGTAGAAACCACACCAACATCTAACCAATAACATATACACCTATCTCTAAAACCTTTTATACTCTCACCCTCTGGCCCAGGAAGAATTTCCCAATAATCTCACTTACCATTGTTGTTGGCAATTAGTGTGACAAGGGTCTTCTTGGCACTGTCGCTGTTCTGTGACCCGCTGCTACTAACGGTGGTGGATGTAGAGAGGTGCCCAGCAACAGAAGCATGGGCAGCGATGGGCACTGGAGCCGAGACTGGTTGCTGGCTCACAGAAACTGTGGGGAAGGGGAGGCACAGTCACTTGGGAGACAGGGACAGTTGGCACTAAAGGATACTGCTCTAATCTTCTCTTTCCAACTGCTGAGTCTCTATAGCCAAAATTTCCTGTTTTATTCATAAATCCAACTGTTCATCTAGTTTCTCTTCCTATTTCTCCCTCATTCTACCAATTAAGACACAATCCTCTCTTCTGTTTCATATTTCCTGGTTAAATTAAATCACAAGGTCACTGAACCAGGATTTTAATGTTTTGTTAATATAGCACTAGCAAACCTCTAGAACGCAAAAAGTTGATTATTATCACCACAATCATATTCATAACCATAAGCCATCCACAGACTCTGAACTGTGCCCTGTATCAACCTAAACCAATGCCATCTTCAGATCTCAAAGTGTGAAGAATAAAGAGAACCGCTGGTACAATTTGGTAGGGGGGCTACTGCCCACTTGCTGAATTCAGGGGACTCTATTATTTGACCTGGCAACATCACCCTTAACAAAAAGAAGCTATCAAGCCTAAACTGTGAACTGCCCATGAAAGCAAACACAAAGTAATTTCTGTTCTACACAAAAGAAACCAAGTCCAAGTCTAAAAAAAAAAAAAAGTTTACGTGACTTTATTATATACACAAATAATAAATGATATACATCACCACTATGCATTCTTGCTTGTACATCCTTTGGTAAGAGTACTGCTAAATGTTTGATAAACATTTGTTAAACCAAGTTTTCAAGGTTTAAGTAGTTAAATACATGTTTCTAGCTTTGTGGATAAGGAAACTGAAGCATTTATAAACTAGAGTGCAGAAAAGAAAGTAGGACGAGTACCACAACAAACCATCCCTAGATTCTTTTTTATTTTCCATTTTTAAGTAAAATAATGAACTATTTATTAATGATATATGTGGTTCTCTATGCCTTAGGTTCTTAAAATCCTTTTCCACTTCATACTTACTCTATTCAAATCAATTTAAACATGGAATAGGTTCACAACAAGATCAAGAATTCTTGTTACCTGTAGTAGTTTTCTCCACTGAATTATAATCTTCAACTACAGAGTCCTCAATGACATCGCTGATCTTCTGCCATGGCTCCAACTCCTCCTCCTCACATTCCATAAAAAGATCGGTGTCCGCCATGCTGTAAGAATTTTAAAAAAGATAACTGATTTAGGAAAGGGTGAAGTCATTTTAGGCAAAATATAGAATCCATTGATAAACTCTACCCCTTTCACACTTGACAATTTCCCCTTCCTTCCTCCAAGTTCCAAAATTATCATTTTTATACTTGAATATTGGATTTCCTTCCCTTTAAAAAAAAAAAAACCACAAAAAAAACAAAAACAAAACAAAACAAAAAACCAGACTAAAACCGAACAACGAAAACTGTAATAACATGATGGAAGTTTAACTTCTAACACCCAGAGTTAAGATTAGGGTGAAAAAGGGAATTAAAATGCAATTCCAAAATACTGTGTTACCAGGGCTCAAATGAAGTAGTTCAAAACTCAAATTTACTGACATCAAGACACTTCCAGCTCATAGTGATTCTCCATTGGTTTCTGAAGCTTGTAAACATTAACAAGAAGACACTATTCAACTTTTTCCTACAGAGCTGCTGGGGATCCAAGCCACCAGAGACAAGAGGCTTTCAGGACTAGGAATGCAACTCACTATGGACTACAACGTGACTGTTCCACTGAGTAGTTCCAAACTCCAACTTACTGCCGTTGAGATAAACTGACTCACAGTTGACCCTACACGGGGTTTCAGAAGCTATAAATCACACAGGAGGAGATCTATCTTTATCCCAGAGAGCTGCTGATGAATTCAAACCATGAGGGAAACCCTTGAGTCAGCAGTACAATTCCCTGGGGACAATGCTACCAGAGAGCCTTACTGTTACTGGGTGTCAACAAATTGACTACACTCATAGTGACCTTATAACAATATATCTGATCTTTTCCTATCCTGAACCATCTTCACCATCTCTGATATGATCAAGTTCACTGTTTTAGTCACTGTGACAATGCATCTTGTTGAGGACTTTCTTCTCTTTCTCTGACCACTCCAACTTTCCCAGTTGTTTTTGTAGGTGCCTCTGAAGAAAGAACTGACCTGTTTTAACCTGCGCCATCCTCTCACTTCCTGACACACAATAGCCCCCTGTGGCAGTCGCCATGTCAATCCACTTAGTTGAGGCTCTTTCTCTCCTTCCTCGACCCTCCACTCTCCCAAGCATCATGTCCTTCTCCAAGGATAAAAACCCTATTAGCAACATGCCCAACGTATATAAGGAATTCCTCATATATAAAGTATGTAATGATTCCTCATCATTCTTGCCTCCTCCAAAGAGCACTCTGGCTGCACCCTCTCCAAGACATATTTGTTTGTTCTGTTGGCTGTTCATTAGACATTCAGTATTCTTATTCAACACCACAACTGTTGTTGTTGTTGTTATGTGCCGTCGAGTCGTTTGCGACTCATAGCGACCCTATGCACAACAGCCCTAGCTAAACCCTGCTCTATCCTGTGCCAATCACACTGCCTCTGACACACCCATCCCGATTAACCCAGTCACCGAATCACTCCATCTCATAGAGGGTCTTCCCCTCCTGTGCCGTCCCTCCACCCTCCCAAGGATGATGTCCCTCTCAAAAGACCCTGGCAACAGGGTAATTCTGGCAACATGTCCAAAGTATGTCAGACGAAGCCCCAGAATCCTTGCCTCCAAGGAGTTGCTTGGTTTAATCCTCTCCAAGATGAATCTGTTTGTTTTCCTGGCAGTCCATGGTACATTCAGAATTCTTCTCCAGCACCAC